GGCGCCTTCGTCCTTGGCCAGGTCCTGGTTCACCAGAGCATAGAGCTCCTTCTTGGCAACAGTGAGAGCCGCATCTTTCTCGGCTTCGACCTCAGCGTCAGTCTTGAAAGTCTCAGTCATCTCTGTATCGCCATCAGAAGTGCTGGCCACGGGCTTTCCAGCTCTCTCGGCCTTCTTATCGTTGGCCTTTTCCAAAGCTGTCTTGCCCTCGGGACCTCCAGACGCTCCAGCAACATCGCCTCGGTCGACAGGGTTGATCTTGCGTCTCTTGCGAGCACGCTCAATATCCTCTTCGTCTTTGCGAATCTCGCGAACCTTGTCGCGCACGGGAATAAGAGCCTTCTTGAGCTCATCGGTGCAGAACTCAACAACGTCAAGTTCGTGGGGGAAAGTGACCTTGCGCATGATCTTGGCCTTCTTCTGCACTTCTCGCTTCCAGAAGAATCGCACAAAATGGACCGTAAGATACTTGGGGAGCCGTGAAATTTGCGACTTCTTCGTGTAAGTCGTGTCTCTATCCAGAACGGAAGACTTCTTCTCCAACTTCTCAGTCAAAGCAGCCATAATACCGTCGCGAAGGTGGTTGATTGAGGCATCAATGTGGCAGTTGAGCTTGAGGAAAGATTCGCTTGACTTGACAGGCTCCTCTCCACCATCCCTGGCAGCCTGCTCATCGGCCTCGAGAGTTGACTGAAGCTCTCCAGCCATGTACCTGTCGATAAACGAAGAACCCTCAGACTCGGAGAGCTTCTGCTTCAACTGGGAAATGATCTGAGACCAGGCCTCCTCGGCATCCTGCTGAGCATATCCGGCTCCGGTCTTGGACTTCTCGGCGAATTGGGGGTAGACCATGCGGAGTGTACTCAGGAAAGTCAGCGGGGGAATGGCGCCCTGTGTTTCCGACATGTTCTTGTAGAGATCGGTAAGTTGAGTGGCGATATCAGTCGAAGTGAGGCCAAAGCTACTGCCAGCACCACCGCTACCCGACTTGTGCGTGGTCAAGGCCGTCTGGAGTTCGGGGATCGATCGGAGGGTCTGGAGGGTCGAATTAAGGTAGCAGGTGTTGCCCAGATTGGTGAGGCCTGCGGGAGTGGCTCCTTCCTGCTGGGCTGCTTCGGCTTCGGTCATGTCCTCAACAAACTTGACTGCTTCCTTGGGTCGAGCGAGATCTGCGTTCTCGCCGGAAGGCTTGCCCATCATCATCAGTGTGGCGCCGGCCTTAAGGCCGAACTTGGCCATGTCGTCGTCATCCTTGACTTGCCTGCCCTTGACAAGAATCTTTTGTCGCTCGGGTTCAACGCCGGTCAGACTGTAGAGCTGATACTTGAAGGTTTCGCCATTGGACGAGGTATCGATCTCGACTTGGTACTTTGTGCCTTGGTGGCTAACGGTGACTATTTGACAAGTCAGACAACAGCAGGCAACGCATTGATTGAGTAATGCTGCTTACCGGGTATTGACGCCATCGTTGTGTTTGTGATTCAGGTCGGCCTTGCTGCAAAATTCTGGAGTAGCTGGTTTTTTCAGTGTGTTGAGATTAAAACCTCGTTGCGAAACGGGCTGTTGAAGGACAAGTTTGTTGAAGGCACCAGGTGGGTTGCGTCAGTACCTACCAAGCATGGAACCTTGAGGTGGGCGGGCAGTAAGGGAGGCAAGGTAGTACAAAGGACTACACGGCAAGATAGCGGGGAAGCGGTGTACCTGCAGGGTCCGTTTCAGCTACCGATTCGCTTATGGCAATATGCCCTTGTCCCTAGCACTTCCGCATGCATTCGACAGTCTTCCAGCATCTTCGGGGAAAGGAGGCTCGAGATAACCTGCAAAGCTTATGGTATTTGTGTCATGTACTTCAATGCTAGAAAATAGAATAGTTGCCCTCATCATCATAGTCTATCTGGGAGCATAAAATAATGTGCCTAGTTCCTGGGTCCGTTATTATTCGGTTTTCGAAATGGTCAAGCGTACATACCGTAGTATGCATGTAAAGGGTACAAGCGGGGGATCGCCACTAAGGAAAGAGCTCCAGGATCACGTGAGGAAGCTTCCGGCTGAATCAGCGAAGTGCGGTGACAGCTACGCATGATGTGGAGCTAAGGTACGGCGGTGCTACCAGCCCCACTACGAAACGTCAGGCTTCCGGCTGAGCCAACCTCACGAGCCCCGCGGTCAAGATCCAACTCCAACCTCTCAGCATCACCAAAGGTTGGACGCGGCCACGTCTCGCCATCATGGTCAGTGAACTCTTGTGGTTGGATGAGCTGTGTCTTTGCTAACAATTGGAAACATAGTCTCAATCACTGCGACCCTATCTCCAAGCCGTCCGGAGCAGTCTGACGTCCGCCCTGACGCTCTCCAATTTCGCTTCCCAGACCGCCGAACGTCACAATGTCCCAGAGATCGAGGCTCAAACATCACCTGAAGTCCTCCTGACGCCCCTAACGATTGCCCGAAACGAAAACGAGCGAGTTCTGATCGAACCGAGTATCAATTCCGTGCGGATATCCATCAAGATCAAGCAGGCCGACGAGATCGAGCACATCCTCGTCCACAAGTTTACTCGTTTCCTGACGCAGAGAGCCGAATCGTTCTTCATCTTGAGAAGAAAGCCAATTAAGGTATGAGATACACATCACGGAAGTGTTTGGCGGAGCTTTCAGGGGCTACAATGCCACGTGGCTTACAACTGGCAACGCGAACGACGACACTGACTTACTATTGCACTAGGGATACGACATTTCATTCTTGATTACGAACTTCCACACCGAGGAGATGCTGAAGCACAAGCTGGTCGACTTTATTATCCAATTCATGGAGGAGGTTGACAAGGAGATTTCGGAAATGAAGCTCTTCGTATGTCCCCTCACTGTTGATCCTTCTGCCATGGCAGTTTCTGACAGCACACAGTTGAATGCGAGAGCTAGATTCGTTGCCGAATCTTTCTTGACTCCCGTAAGTCATACTCGCTATTGCAGCGCTAACCGGACACAACTAATGCCCCCCTTAGTTCGATTAAAATACCCTATAACAAGCGTCACGAACGCCAGGACTTCGGCTTCAAATCTGCACGGCCAGAATCGTGTAGTTGGGACGAGAATCTCGCACAACGTTGAAGTCATGGACCAAAATCATGAGTTGGAGTTGGATGTTGGCTCGAGCGCTCCCGGAAAACCGGGATCCACTATGGTTCCAACCTTGATATTGGTCCGCAAATCCGGGGCCGAGTGGGAACGACGACATGGAGCCTCCATTTTGATAAACAATTACAGTTATGAACACAACTCTCTCTCCAAATCAAGTGTTGCATATCAGTGAGGCGTTTTCTGATGTAACTCTTTCGCTCTGCTTACCTTATGAGAGCGTTGAAGATTGTTGGAACGTCCATCTAAACATTGCGAGACGTGATGTGACGTCGTAGGATACAACGAAGTCGAAGCCATTCTGCGGCGAGAAACAGCTGATAATTGATCTTAAATGCTGAATAACTCTTGCCATCACGACGACCACGACGTTACCCTCTTCATCTTCCTCGCTCTCGTGTGATTGAGTTTATGCTGGTTGTTCAGTGTGGATGGAATCAGTTTACCTGGAGAACCTCTTGGCGCTTTATATCATTCTACCACAACAAGCGTTTTTGCGCATTCAGGCAACCCAACCAAGTCTTGCCATTGTTGTCGTCCTGACTTGTCATACAACTATCGGCCTAATACTCACCTCCACCCCACCATGCTACGATGGAATACACAACCACCTATTCATTCTACTGCCGCCTTGGAGTCCCTCTATGCCCTAAATCAAAAGCCCCTTCTTCCTTCACATCTTCCTCCCTCCTCCCGTACTTCTCTCCACTTCAACTCAAATTTCTCTCCCCCTTCCCACACACCTCATACACTCAATCAACAATTCCTTTCCGCCCCATCACAACAAATACTCTAGGTCTCAAGTACAATATCGTACTCAAGACTCTACAAAGCCTCCAGGTCTGCTGGTTTTATTGACCTACGCGCATCGTCGAGACAACTGAAAATACCCTCAGTTCTTAGCTCTGCCTTGTTTAGGCTACCTGTTTCTCACGATACTCGTTCGGTCTCTGGTAAGCCTTCTCTTTCATTCTTTTCTGTCCCTCGGCCTTCTGCTTGCCGCGACTCTCATTTTCGGAAGCAGCGACCTGGCAGCACTGAGCTTTTTACCTTATTTTGGTTGTTCAGCGTCCCACCTCACCCTCATCCTCCCTCCTTCAGCCCCTTCAGGCTTTGCTCGAGAGTGAGGTCTTGATTTCTTTTCCTTCACCGCCCAAGCCTTATTCCTTTCATCTTTCCACACCTTTCTTTCTGACAACCTCCCATCGACAGATTTCCATCAGTCACTGTACGGTGATTTTCAGCTGCTTTCTTGGGCCGGTCTGCCTCCCAGCAGTAAGAGTGAGTTGTTTCCTTCTCTGCATATCCAGCGCATTCCACCATCCGTCGGATCTTCATCGCACTTCTTTCTTGACGATGAGGTTTCTTCTGGTCTTTTTCGTCTGTTCCTGAGCTGTAGATTGAGCTCAGAGAAGCGACGAAGGCTTTCCTAGGCAAAAACGCTTGCACTCTTTCGGGATCCTTGAGAAGTCATTCTCATCATCGATGAGAGACTCACTCGCTTTGCTTCTGCCAATTTCTCCCAGCTTGCCAAATTTGCGAGACTTGGTTCTGCGTTCACCACCTCACTCTCTTCACCTCGTGTGCCCTTGCCTTTCCTGGCGCTCTCTGCTCTCACCTCTACAAGTCACTTGTTCTTGCCTTGTCTCTCATCCCCAGGTCCTACTCGCCTCTTTTCATACTTTCACCTGGCGTCGGTTCTCAACGCTACTCACATTGGCTGCGCAATCACTAATCGCATACTTCTAGAGCACTTACTGTTATCACACGCATTCACCACATATACTGCCATCAGTACCCCTCACTAGCATCATTCTTGTTCTTCCTGTTCTCAGCAAGGATTACGCCTAAGTGTTGCTCATCATGGTCTACTCTCAGGTACCTAGTATGAAGGGCAAGGAGAGACAGCAGCAGCGTCGAGTGCGTAACAGCGTCCTCCAGTTTGCGTTCAGGCCTCGCGCTGTGCCGGAGACTGTTGTTGAGACAGAGACTGCCATGGAGAATGGCGACCACGACAGTGAGCCTGGTGGTGCCCGCCTCGATACTGATCCTTTCGGTCGCAACCAGCAGGGCCAGAATCATATCTTAGCCAGCTCCAGCCTCAACCCTTCTTCCTCGCCTTGGGTTCCCAACTCCTCTCAGGCCCAACAGACCACTAGCAAGGTATATATACTAAACATCTCGAAACTCTCTTATCAGCCTTGTTTCGATCTAACACTCACATCCAGATTGATCAGCCCGAGATCGCTGAGCTTGACGGTACTCCTCAGTATATTGGCGCCAACGGCAAGATCCAGGGCCGTTCATCGATTCCCGCTCAGAAATTTGGATCCAGCTCGAATGGTGCAGTTTCATACTTGAGTGGAACAGTCGGAAACAACTATCGCGTTGCTCTCCCGAAGATGGCTATCCAGGCGAACCACGGCCAGCTCACCGGCAGCTCCTCCATGGGCAATTTGGGTATCCAGATCCCTGTCCGCCAGGACATTGGTGGATTGCTCTATGACCATGGCGACAAGGAAGTCATCGATCTGACTGGTGATGATATTAGTTCCGGCAGCGATACTCCCAAGGCAAAGGGTGTTGGTAACAGTGGTCTCATGACGGAGCCGCGCAACTTCGCTCCACGTACCATGAACCACCTTGGAGCGCCTCCCAAGTTCAACTTGATCAAGATCAACAACGGCGCCGATGCCCCTGCTTTGGTCACTCAAGACCCTTTCGTGTCTTCCGCTTCGCAAGTTGGCGCTATTCAGCCGTCTGTGCCTGTGTTTGGCTCGCAGATTGACACTACCCACTTGCTTGCGACTGGTCAGATCCCTTTCCCTGCCGCGACAGGCGACACTCTGCACTTCGACAATCTCCCTCGCGATGACGATGAACCGTCCATCCAGAACGATATCAACAGCCAGATTCCTCAGCTCAACTCAACCAACGGAGGACATGCTGCCAACGTTCAGAACGTGCCTGCCCGGCCGGTGGGATTGTCTCTGCCGCAGCCTCCTCAGGCCCTTCCTCTTGCCGGGAACAGTGCGGCAATCGTTCCTTATCAGGCTTCTCATCAGGATACTTTCCAGCGTGGCTACCAGCTCCAGGAAACAGTCGCGACTTATGGTGACGCTGTTTCTGACTACATCCGCGCTCAGCGATCGACGCAGCTGAACCGCCTCACCGGCGGTCCCACGGGTCGACCTACCTCGAATGAGGCTATGCATCAAGTGAACTTCCCGTTCGTTGAGCCTCCCCCCCGTGCTTCCCACTTCATGGTTCGCGGCGTCATCAAGATTGGCAACGTTCGTTCACCCAATATCCTACTCATCGTTATCATTGGCACTGACACATAACCAGATTCCTTTCGTCACTAACCGCTCCGAGATCATTGCGATCCTGGGTCGCAACTCCCGTATGCTCAATGACACTGATGAGCCTGTTCATATCATCATGGAGCGTGTCACTGGCAAGACCACTGACGCTTACGTCGAGTTTCACACCCTGGAGGATGCTTCCAAGGCCGTTGAGAAGCATCATCAGAACCTTGACCGTGGTCGTGTCACTCGCATTGGCCAGCGCCCTGTCGAGATCGAGCTTTCCAGCCAAGCTGCTCTCATGAAGGACCTGTTCCCCAACGCCAGGGGTGTGTTCTGGGCCGGTCTTCACCCCCATGTCCTCCCTGACAACGACCAGGAGCCTTGGGACAACTTCAAGGGCTTCGTATCCAACGAAGAGATGACCATGCTGGTCAAGCATGTCGAGGTTCCCCATCGTGTAAGTCTCTTCATCTTGACGTGCTCATGAGCCTGTGGCTAACTATTCTAAAGTCACCCTTTTCGAAGGAGTGCCCGCAGCGTCCGTTCGAGTGCCTCATCAGCACCCTGACCAAGTTCCCTTGGCAGATGAAGGGCCACGTCACTGTTCAGCAGCGTCATGCCATGTACAAGGCCACCTGCGATCTCCTCCGCATCCTCGTGGGCAACATTCGCGACAAGCGCGACGAGGTCAACCTTACTCATCGTCTGTGCAAGCGAGTCGTCGCTGCGGCAATGCGCTGCGAGGGCTTCTCGATTGCCCAGAAGGACGATATTGCCTTCATTGTCAACATGAGTGAGATGGAGCAGCGTTCCTTTGGCCAGCCGCGCTTTGCCGAGAGCTGGCGCCACCTCTATGTCCTGGTTCCCAAGAATGGTGTCCCCTTGGATGTCATCGAGGTAAGTAATATCCCTATTCCGCTTATCTTCACATTGGAATGATGGTATGGGAATGAGAGAGTCTAGCTAATCAGTCATCTCTCGCAGTGGTACATTGCCCTCATCCGCGAGGAGACTATTCGCTACCTGGAGATGCAGTCTTTCCAGGAAAAGTGCAAGACGTGCACCATCGGCGAGGCCACTGACGGATACTTTGGCTTCTTCTGGCGCGAGTTGAACCTTCGTGTTGGACCTGAATTCGACCACATTTCTCTTGCAACTCTTGCCATGCACGAATACCAGACACTCGAGACGATCATCCGCCGCGCCCTGACTCCTTCTATCGGTCACTAATGTCGACATACAACAGACCTGGGAAACAAGGCAAGGCAAATATGGGGTGCTGAGATGGCTTCAACTGATGAAAGTTGGCACATGGCTTTGGAACTTCTCCTTTTAGCTCTGCTTATCTGCACTTTCACGTTTACGGCACTTGGCTTGAAGAAGTGAGCCATTTCGCCCCCATGGTTTTTGCATCATGCCTTTTGTTTCTTTGGCTTTCTATCCTTGGGAGTTTGGACGAGTCAAGGACAGGATGGAGGGCTCGGAAAATCAGGATGGTGTCCGTTGGTTTGTCGCACGCTGACATCTGGAAACTATGGATGTTTCTGGGTTTCTTTCACAGATGGGGGATGGGCTTCTGAAATTACCTTAGTGAGATAGGGGTTCGAGTGGTTGAAATTCTCTATACCCGATCAATAAGACCTCTAGAGCAGTTCTCTATAACTTATTGGTACACAGCCGTTGTCACTCCTTTTGTTGTTTTCTTTGTTCTTGACGGATTGAAACATTCCCGTCAAAACCGTCGTTGGGGCACAACGTCGGATAGGCTGGCGTAAATTTCGCGTGGCGCGCAGACGGCGTGATGGCGTTAAAGAGCTGACTGGGTGATGGAAACTTAAACGTCCCGTTCGTGCAGTTGAGGTTGAAGTTGGCGAGTGGGGCACCTTAGTCAGCCTATCCCAGACACGGGGACTCTTGGGCTGATGGGCCAGTCACAGTACCGCGAAGGGGGAGTGGAGAAAGAGTGCACTAAAAGCTGCAGGTACCGCCTAGACCTGGAGCGGCATCGCCCAGTATCGTGCGGCAGCTGGTCCATCAGTCCTGCACGCAGCAGCGCAACCTGCCCTGCCCCAGGGGAGTTCGATAGGGCGACCGCTCAGTGCGCATTTTGGCAGTTTTGTTGGCGGGAAAGCACCTACCTCACCTGAGGCACGGACCAGCGGAGCGGAGCCCTTTCTATTTTCTCCGTCGTGCCTTCCTTTCGCAAGGTTCGTTATTTGGACGGTACCGGAGGGTCGTTTGGGAGATCACCGAGGAGATATTCGTAGTATTATTTTGGGGCCTGACGCTTGCACTAACTTGGAAAACCCGACTCAATGGTCTGCGGCAAGGACAAGAAGGACAAAAGACCAAAAAAGCCCCTGAAACATTTTGACGACGCGGGCGGACAGCTGGCTTAACGGCATTCGGCGGCGGCTGATTATGGCGGGGCACATTGGTACCGGAGGTTGGAAGATCGGAGGTAATTGGGAGCCCTGGGGGGTAAAGGGTTTAATGAGATATCCGTGTTGATGGAGAGGCTTCGCATCGATCGTGCTGCCTTGAACTCGACCAGCCGTCTTGTGGCCCAGGTAATGCTCTTTCTGCTCAATCCATATCACAGCATATCGAAGCACCACAGACTTTGAGGTTACATCGGTCCATCGATCATTGATGAGGTTGAGTGACTCGAGTAGTGTAAACTTGCGGCGTGGTGTACAGTAGGGATGGCTTGTCAAGGCAGTGGTCCTTGCTCAATTTTGCAAGTTTCCAACGAGGAAAATCGGTATCAAACGTAAAAACCAACAACAACAAGTGCCTTACTTAGTTCACGAGTGACGAAGCTTCGTTGGACGGGACAAGACTTGGAAAAAGGAAGAAACAACTAGGAACAAGGAAGTTCTGGACAAGGAGTTTACATGTCAGGACTGTGACCCCATCCAAGCTCCGTCGAAACAGAGGGCGCAAATCACCTGTAAAAAAGGGGGTCCATCTCCACTCCACTCTCCCGTCTGCACAGGCCAGGACTGAAGCCCAGCCCAGCTGAGATTGTTTCTGGAGATGCGAGTCTAGAGTACGAATACCTACCTTACTACGTAGTGAGTGGCAGTGGCGGCGGCATCATCTTCATCAAGAAAACATCACTGGCTGGATGGGTTGATACCTCGAGTTTCCCCGGAAGCAACGCACGGAGCACTCAAGACGGGTGAATGGCAACGGCCTGGCGTGAAGCATGACAGGTGCCTCACTCTTAGGTAGAATAAGGTAGGTACCTGGGCTGAACTTGTAAATAACCCAAGGGAAGGTACTACCTACCTTACCTTAGATGATGATGGGAGTAAGGATGAGAGTGACCCTTGGTTCTTGGAACATGAGGTGGACTGGGTGACTGGCCAAGGTACCTTCCCGAGGCAAGGAAGGTTCATTTTGGGTTCCATTGCTCTTTCCCGTTGCCGTTGCTGCCACAACTTGTCGTTGCCGCTTCGTGTGGTGTGTGTGGTCTGTTTGCTGCTGCCACTTTCCGTCTCCCATCAGATTCAATTACTTTTAGTACCCGAGCGCACCTCGTACCTTCCTTCCATTTGCAATTCCTGCGTACCTTCCCTTTCATATTCCCAAACTCTCTCTCTCTCTCATCGTACCTGCCTATTATACCTACCGCCTGGCCTGCCTGCCTACCTGCCTGATCACCCAACAATACATTCACTTTCAAAGGGAAAAAATAATACCTAGTCACCCCAACAGACCGGGACAGATACCACACACGCGCACACCCGCACGCTACCTTACCTTACACACACTCTCGCACACACCTGAGGCAACTTGACGCGACTTTGCAGCAAGAGGGGCTGGGGCAGAAAAACCGGCCTGAACTTTTTTTCTTATCATCTTATTTTTCCGAGCGAAAAGACGCCAGCCAGGAGCTGTCACTCTCGGAAATTTCACCCTTCACTTCCCACAGTCATTCCTTGACACCCTCTCACTTTCACTTTCACTCTCAGACTCATCTCACTCACGGAATTTTCTGATCCCCATCATGTCTGCTCAGACCACCGACACGCCCGTCGCGGTGCCTGCCCCTGCTGTTGCTGCTGAGGCGCAGCCGGCCGTCGCTGCACCTGCCGTAGAGCCGACTTCGGTCGACGCTCCCGCGCCCGCCGCCGTTGCTGATGCCACCCCTGAGGTCAAGCAGGAGCAGAAGACTGAGCAGCCCGCTGCAGCTGCTGCTGAGAAGACGGAGGACAAGGCTGATGAGAAGGCCGGCGCTCCTGCTGCCGAGAAGCCTGTTGAGAAGGCCCAGACTCCCCTGTCTTCGCTCTTTGAGAAGCTTCCCACCATCTTGGCTGAGGCCAAGCACAACGAGATGTGGGGTGTGCAGCTCTCCGACGACACTCACATTCCCACCACCGTCGTCCTGCAGAAGTTCCTTCGCGCCAACGACGATGATGTCTCCAAGGCTGCTGACCAGCTCCAGAAGGCCTTGGTTTGGCGTCGTGACACTAACCCCGGCAAGCTTCTTGATGAAGTCTCCTTCGATGCAAGCAAGTTTGGCGATCTCGGCTATGTCACCACCCACAAGGACGCCCAGGGCAAGGAGATGATCATCACCTGGAACATCTACGGGGCCGTCAAGGACAAGAAGGCCACCTTTGGCAACGTCGATGAGTGAGTGATAACCCGAGAAAATGAGATTCCCTGTATCGCATGAAACAACATTTGACTTACACAACTGAATAGGTTCATCAAGTGGCGCGCTGCCCTTATGGAGCTCAGCGTCCGCAAGCTTAATCTCGACAAGGTCCAGACCGCCATCCCCGATGGCGGCGAGGACCCCTACCAGATGATCCAGGTTCACGACTACCTCAACGTCAGCTTCCTTCGCGTGGACCCTGCCGTCAAGGCCGCCTCCTCTGAGACGATTAGAATCTTCGCCATGGCCTACCCTGAGCTTCTCGTCCATAAGTACTTCGTCAACATCCCCGCGCTCATGGGCTGGGTCTTCAAGGCGATGAAGGTCTTCCTCGCTCCCAAGACCATCGCCAAGTTCCACCCTCTCGGCTATGGTTCCGAATTGGGCGGAGAGCTCCCGGCCTACAAGGACTCGCTCCCCAAGGACTACGGTGGAAACGCTGAGAGCATCAAGACCACCGGCCAGACCGTCAAGTTCGCAGAGGCTGAGGCCCCTGTCGAGAAGCCCGCGGCTGATGCTACTGCTGCTCCCGTCGTCGCCGCGCCTGTTGCAACTGAGACCCAGCCTACCGCCGAGGCTCCCGCGGCTGTCACCGCTGAGACCCCCGCTCCCGCAGTCGCTGTCAGCGAGCCTGCCGTCGCTTCTGAGCCCGTCAAGGCTGCTCCTGCGGCCGCTGAGGCTGAGAAGACCGAGGTTCCCACCGTCGCCGACTTGAGCATCAATGACAAGACTGAGGCTAAGGAGGAGGCCAAGACTGTTGCTGCCTAAAGGATAACTTGATGGCTTGCATGGTTTGATTCTCTATTCGTGGCTTTTTTCCTTTTGTTACATGCCTTTGAATCTGCGGGCTGAACCTCGGGTGGTTTTCGCGAGAACATGAGAATGATGTTGTCGCAAGAGATCCATTGGGTTTCTAGGCATCCATGGTTTGTTCGCTCCATCTCCAGTAGAGGCATGGCAGAGTCCTTGGTTTGCCCACTGCGTTTTCTCCTTGCGTTCATGCCATAATACCCTTCTAGTGTGTGTTTGTGGCGTTGTCAATTCGAATTCAATTTTTTCGATCGAAGACAGGAAGGAAAGAAGGATCAGAACAGAGAGACTAGCAGGAAAGGATGGGAATGTCTCCTCTTTAATACCTAGGTTAGGAAGAAGAATAAAATCAAATTCGACAGTTCAAACCTGCGGGAAACTTGAGGGTGTTAGAAATGTGCAAAGACCGACTGACTCGAAGAAAGGAGAGCTCCATCTAGAGTGAAACCGCACAGCTTTCCCTTGCCCCCTTCTGCTTCTTCGTCTCGCATGTTTGGCAGCCTGCCGGCCGAGCGCATAGATACCTATCCTCGAAGAGTGTAGTGATTGTGCCGCCGGGTGGTTTGCGCACCTACCTGCCTTGTTCGACCCGCATCCCGGGGGGGTTAAGCAGCGGCATTTCAAGCAAGGTAGCAAGTAGCACACTCACGTATTCCGCGATGCTTAACTGCAGAACACTACGGTTATATGGTTTTCAGCCCACGTTGGGAAGCACTTCCGACGAGTCTTTCCAGATGAATATTCGACCGGTTCTACTTCACCTCGAAAGGTGCGCAGTACCAAATGATGGGGATCTGAACTCAGTCATGAGTCCTCGAAGTGCCAAACGGTATTGTAGTCTATCTCACGAATTTTGCGAGGTTCTGACCGCAGTTATTCAGCGGTGCTCATGTCCTGTCAAATTGATCTCATTCGTCGATGAGTGCGGTTATCGTCGCGGGCATTGTTGTTTGAATTGTATGTTTCCAATAGGATGCTATTGAGTGCAGCACCACTAGCAGACCTACTCTCAATCCAGCGCGAACCAAACCAAGCAATTTGTAAACTGCTTACTGCACCATATATTTCTTCATCTTTCTGATCTATGCGTGATGTCGGTTTTCATTTCCTGCCCGGTGAGGGCATTGGTGCCTTGGTCACCAACAGACGTTCCGAGCCTCGATGTTAGAATCAACAGTAGAGTTGACCTTTCTGAGAGTAACTCTCAAGAAATAGTGACTGAGAAGCATATAATCACTCGAAAACAACTCTTCAAGGTTGTCTATACTGTCATGATAGTGTCGTTTTGGTTGTAGATCCGAAACAGATTAGCCCCGAGTGGTCCCCAAGGGTGACGTGATTCGGGATCCCACCATGCCTATCTCACCATTTGAGCCTGCCACTCAGAGTCCATGATGATGAACCTGACCGTATATAAGGCAGACTGATAGCTTCATCTTTGAAAGTTATCATACGTGGTAATCATTAGTACCATAAGCAAGTCGTTGTTGTTTGTTAGTCAGATAACATCTTATGGCCAGAGCTGGAGTTAGGAGTGTTTGCTTGCGGACCCCAATCAGTCGAACCCACATGGGTGTCCCAATATGGCGAGTGGTCGAGACGAGGAGGAGGATGCAAGTATGGTGTGGTGTTGCCCATCATGCCTGTATCGGGGCGAGGCTCAGAGCAGCAGTACGGCGGTGGCGCCAGCGATTGAGGCAAAACGCAGGAGGTGGTCCGAGAAGATACAAGCAACACAACCAGATGACACTTGAACCTTGCGTTTTCGACGACACGAGGATCATGAGCAAGCTCAATTTTGCAAAACCGTAAATCGATGGATTGGTTGCTGGAGGTTGTAAGATTGTGATGGAGCCGACTTTGGTTGTTTCGGCTTATCCGGCCGTGTAGTCGACTAGACCGTAAGTCAGCAGGATGAAGGATCCGATGTTCAGGGAGTATGTACAAGTGGAGGAGAGGCAAAGACGAGAGTGAGAATAGGACTGGATGAATGGAGAAGAGAGGAGACACACACACAGAGAGAGTCCCGTGTACGCACACGCAACACAACACGGACCGAACAGGGTTCTGTTTACCTTTAGAGGTTCCCCAGCCCAAAACGAACGAGGCCCGAAGAGAGGCCAGGTCACGTCCATCCATCCGCATCCAGAGACGACGGAATCTCCACGTTCTTACTCTCTCACTGTTATTTGCCCCTCTCCGTCTGAATCACATCCACTCCCCATATTCTCGGTAGATTGTATACATGTCTCATGTACACACTCTATGCTATTGAAAGTCACCAAATCTACGCAAGACCAGCGCCAGTCGAGACCGACCAAAGTCAGACAAGAGACGCACAAACTAAAGCAGAAGTGAAGAAGCGCGGCGGCGTATGCTGGCCCAACACACCAAGGCAAGCCTTCCCGCGCTGGTTCTTTCACAAGGGGTACAAAGGTCAGCAAGGCCCCGTTCCTCACCTCAGCGTCTCTCGTTTATCCAGAAGCACCTCTCTCGCCTCTTGCTCCCGTCTTCCCCGTCTCTATCTCTTTTTTGCCCTCTCATTTCCAGCATTTGCGTGCGTTGGCTCTCTCGACTACGTCTCATACAAATCCAAGCCCGAACTACTGGGTTCGATTTCTCTTACACCTTCCCTGGGTTGACTTTTCGCAATTCAGTCAATCCTATCGCTCTCTGTCTCCGCAAACGGTGAAGAGGAGAGTCGACAGAGCCGAAACCTAACGGACATATCCGTCAAGTACTCAGAGTTAGGTGGCCAAGGCAGGCCGCAAAGTCAAGCAGAATAGCCAGCGGCAGCCAGACCGATAGAGCAAGCAAATCCATCAATCAACAACCGCCGGTCAAAACACCTTGATCCATCCATTAAATCAATCAAATCAGTCGCGTCCCCACTCTCCACGCTCTGCCCGTGTCCTCAACACGACACTGGATAACCTGACGGGACGGAAGCTCCCTCAAAGCCATCCTTCTTTGCCAACCCATCACATCCCACCATCCGCACCAATTCCTCCTTTCACCTACTTCCTTACCGCAAGGTACCCTAACTTACCTTAGACTCCGTGTCTTTGTCTCATCCCTCCATCTCACCCTACCTTACCTTGCCACACCACACACACACACACTACACTCCACCTCACTTCCTGCTCTCCGGCTTATCACGACTCACCCTCCAGCGCTATAGCTTCTCACGCGCTTTTACCAGGAATTGAACTGCGCTTATTCAAAGCAATATCGAAAATCCATCTCAGAATTTCCAACAAACCCCAATCGTCCAATTGTCCAATACAGACTTCGGAACTCGGGAACAACTTTTTGACTTTACCAATTTTTATTCGGGTTCCCTTATTCCCTCATCTTTCCCCCTTTTTACACTCCCTCCGCTTGTCAAGGTACTCGACTGAAGTGCGCTTTGGTTTGCTACGGCACAGAGTACTTCGTCTGCCAAATACCCTCGCAAACTACCTTCACCTTATTGCCACTCAATGCCCGGCCGGTAAGGTGAGAGCTAAGAGGCAGCGAACGAGCCAATTCTGCGTGCCTGGGGAGACGGTTTCCGCACACACCCCGGTCTAATCCCTCTCCTTGGCCTTTTTCGTGTCTGGAACTTCTCTGGACCTCCCACCCCCAACTTTCTTCCCACCTCGCAACACACGCACACTCTATTTTGGAACGCGTCGCATCTCCCCTCTACCGACCTCCAAACACGACATAAACGACGCAAAAGTTCAAAATCGCGTCGAGACTGGGTATTTTCGCCCAATATGTCTCTCCTACACAGCGATAGCGGCTTGCTTTCCGCTCTCGCTACTGACTCCTCCTCCAACATCGCGTCTTCCAGCTCCACGCCTCCCACCAGTATATCCGATGTTGCCAGCCAGGCCTCAGAGGGCCCCAAATTAGACGACATCCCCATCATTCTCGAGACCGAAACCATTATCGAGACCGAAATCGAGGCTCAAATCGAAATCCCTGCGGATGCCATTCCGACTCCCGACCCTGCACCCGAAACGCCCTCGGAGCCCCAACCCGCAGCGCGCCCACGTCGGTCTTGCTCCGGCAAAGGTGTATACAACCTTTCAAAACTCAGTGGCACGGCGAACCGCGGTCACCGCCGCTCCAAGGGTGATATTGTCGCTGCTGACCGGCGCCGGACCATTTCTGGCGAGACGCTTGTCAATGGCGGAGCCAATACGGACGAAGTGGCGCGTGTCGCTAGCAACCTTGTCCGCGACGGCATTGACGCGTTGGACCTCCAATGGTCTGTTGGGGCTCTCAAGACACCGCGTGCGAAGAAGATTACTACGGAAAAAGCAGCAACGTCGCGGATTACTCGTCACACGGCGCGTCTTATCGGAACCCCTGTCGAGACTCTTGCGACCAAAGTCTCCAATCTCGGCAAGCGGAGTCGCAAAACCTTCGAGAAGAACATGTCCAAGATTCCCCGCGAATTGCGCCGCCTGCAAGACACCAAGGAGTTCACCGGCATTGACGAGAAGCCTGTCATCAGAACGGTCTGGTCTAATGGAAAGCTCGTGATCTTGGACGAAAATGGCAACATCCCCGCGCCACCGGCCAAGAAGGCCAAATCTGAGCCGCTCGAGGCCAAGAAAGAGGAGGTAGAGGAGAAGGCCGAGAAGGCTGCCGACGCCCCCTCCAAGAAGACGAAGCGTCACAAGAAATATCTCGATCGTGGACTGTATGCCGGCCAATCGGCTCCGTCTGATTTGACCAAGGGGCTGTCGATACCTGAGCAGAGAAAGCTTGCGCAAACACCGGAGCTCAAGGACTACGGTCGCCCCAACAAGGCCCTTCCATTGCCAATGTTTAATGGACTGCGCCTGTTGCTCAGCGGTCGCGATTTCAAGCTCCCCTTTGATGTTTGCAATCCTTTGCCGCCTGGCCAGCCGAAGCCCGACGACTTCCGCAAGATGACAAAGAGTTAGATACCCATCGCCGCTAGCTGACTCCCCTCACTGACCTTGATACAGATCGTTTCGTTGGCGATTCTCTGAGCCTGTGGAAGAAGACGCCGCACTTCATCGACCAGTCCAAGTGCGTCTGCAAACCCGAGGACGGATGCAGTGAAGACTGCCAGAACCGAATCATGCTGTACGAGTGCGACGACAAGAACTGCAACGTGGGCCGGGAAAACTGTACAAACCGCGCCTTTGCCGATCTTCAAGAGAGAAAGGCAGGTGGTGGCAAGTATCGCGTTGGTGTCGAGGTCATCAAGACGTCAGACCGTGGCTACGGCATTCGCGCGAACAGATGCTTCGAGCCGAACCAGATTGTCATGGAGTACACCGGCGAGATCATTACTGATGAGGAATGCAACAACCGCATGGAAACCAAGTACAAGGATAACAAGGTGGGTAAAGACCTAGTCAACTTTGACGCCCAGCAGAGCTAACCGCATCACCAGTGCTACTATCTCATGAGCTTCGATCAGAACATGATTATCGACGCCACGACCGGTAGCATCGCTCGCTTCGTCAACCACTCATGTGCTCCCAACTGCCGCATGATCAAGTGGATTGTCTCTGGCCAGCCCAGAATGGCGTTGTTCGCGGGGGATAAGCCCATTATGACGGGCGAGGAACTCACCTACGACTACAACTTCAGTCCGTTCAGCGACGAGAATGTTCAAAAGTGTCTCTGCGGCGCGCCGAACTGTCGAGGGATCTTAGGGCCTAAGCCTCAGGAAGTCAAACAGCCCAAGCCTCCCAAGTCGACTATCAAGGCTGTCGTCAAGAGCGCTGTCAAGGCGAGCAAGAGAAAGATCGAAACGATGATTGGCGACGAAGAAGACGGCGGCTCCGCAAAGAAGCGTAAGATCAAGGCCGCCAAGGGAGTGAGACGATCACTATCCTCGACCGGTCTGCTCACCAAGGCTGCGTCCAAGGGCGCGGCTACGGTTAAGAGACGTGTATCGGCCATGGCAATTCTCGGCGGCACCAGCAAGACGAGCACCCCGGTGAAGTCGGCCAAGGGCACAAAGGCGACTCCGGCAAAGACAACAGCGAAGAAGGCAACCCCGAAGAAGTCGACTCCGAAGAAGTACACGGCTCCCAACCCCGCGCGCAAAGCTACCGCAGTCCGTAAGTCGGGCTCCGGAAAGATGCTCAAGACGTACGGAAAGGTCTCGCCCAAGAAGCTGAGCAGTCGTGCGCCGAGCATGACGATTGTGGCCGCGGGAGCAGAGAACGAGGAGGAACTTACCCCGGAGAAGAGCAAGGGCCAAAAGCTTCACAGAAGTCTTAGCAAGGCGTCTCGCAACGCACTGGAAGAGCTCTCCCGCGGTTCCACGATCCGTCTCGTAAGCCCTGAGCTTGTGAGCCCGGGGGCCACGATCACAGCCCGGCAAGATTAGGCGAACCCGTGGCGAAGTCTGAGCCACACTGCATGAGGCATTCACGATGCCTCATTCATCATATTGATTCTTGACGTCGACAAACGAGGGCGGCACGGATGAGTTTGGCGTTGGCAAGGTGTTTTCGGTCATTCAACAGGCGAAACGGAGGCAAGGCATTGTACATTACGGGAATCGAGGGAAGGACGACATGGTACAGGGGAGAGACGAACGAAGAAGTGACGAAAGGGGGGGGAGGCAATGAGAGACAAGGACGTCGAAGCTTCGGGGACGGACATCGGTCTCTGCCTAAGAGTTGGGCATTCTCGCTTCTCCCCTGCGATATCTGGCTGCATACGTTTTATCGGAACTGGGGGACTTCATTGCCAGTTGCAGAGAGGGTCTAATCATCTTTTTTTTACTTTTTTCCTCCTCAGACGGTGGTCAGCAGCAGCAGTTTTAGGCATATTTTATTTTTAACTGGCATGTTACAACCTTCTTCCGTCCATTGCTTCTCGAGTTCGCGAAGAGACGCTAAATTTGATGATGACGCGAGGTGTGACTTTTAACGACAACCAATGGATCTATTCTCCAGCATTTCGTGACTAGCGTGAGGTTGAATTCGTTGACCGAGCCCAGTCTGTCAGGCTGCACGCGCTGGTTGAGGTCAGAGGGGTGGTGAGAGAGCGAGTATTTTCATCCGGGTACGAAGGTGAGGGAGGGAATCGAAGAGGTGAGGCGGTGATTGGGTGAAGTTTATGACCAATAGACACACCGAGGTGGACCCGTCGGTCAAGAGAGAAAGGAACGTACCGATTAGCTTTGGAATGGAACGCTGCATGGACCTTTTATTTATGTACTCCCGGGCGGCGGGACCCATTTCTCCCCTTGGCCTTCCGCCTACGACCTCTGGGTTCTGAGACTGTGACAAAGTCGTGGGCGGGCCTGTGGCTGCTCTGTGCTGAGAATAGTTCCAGAAGCCTGCCTAATTAGATAGGGATTGGGAAACTGCAACCTCGGGCGCTGTGGCGAAGCGACAAACAGCAAACGGCGCTGGGGAACAGCCGTTGGGATGAGGTTGGCCGCTGGCGTTCGCGGTACTACGGTTTCGCGACGAGTTGGACGAGGTGACTGATTCTGTACTTTTCTTTTTGCTTTTTGGACGTCGCCAGTCACTTCGCTCTCGACTACCAAGGCGTCTTGGTCTAGGGTGGAGTCTTGTCTCTTGTTCCCGTCCTTTCTGCCTCGTCGGGCGGTATCGGGCGGCCCGCTACGGTTTCCTAGACATGGCTG